CTGAACTGCAAAGTATAAGCAAAGATTACTATTATTATTACATGTATTATCTATGATACTGTCTACTTATACTCCATTATGTTTCCACCAACACTCTGTTTATAGTGGTTTCATTACTAATATTATTATGACTATTTTAAATGATATGCATGTACATATTTATAAAAGGAGGTAAATTGTTGCAATATATATAAATATACTGAAAATTCCATTCTGTATATTTATTAGTGTTTGGAATAAAGTGATTACTATTATTATTATCCTGACTTCCGTTTCATGCTTCCAAAATTACTTTACACAGATCTCTTCCATTTCTTTTCTTCTCAGCTTGATCCATCGCTCTACTATTCAGTATTAGGGCAGAGGACATCATACGCATCCAGTATACTACTCACAAAATTTTGTCAGTAGTCCCCGTCACACGAACAACACTTCTGCTTTGCTTTTACCAAGGAAGGGAGTAACACTCCAAATTAGAATGCAAAATAACAAATAAGTGCAAATCTTACCCCGTTTAATTTTTCGGTTACTCACCAGTTAGATAAACCATAATTTGGTCTAATCGATATGACTGAATTGATTTATCACTATGATGTAACCAATGTCATATGACCAGTCCTTAGTAGTGATGCTGACTGAATTCTACCAGTCAACTGTGTAGTGTGAACAACAATTAAGGCGACTCGCCATTGCGGTGCACTCTGAATTAGCGTCAGCAGGTCGGGTGTGAGGACAAATACTCGCCGAAGACATTGGCTAGGGGTCGCGCTATGTTGTGAATTGGCAGAAGGTAGAATTCATGGGCCATTGAATCGGGTCCCAGTGGCTTAATGGTATACGAGCTCGCCTTGTAACCAGAAGGTCCTGGGTTCGAATCCCGTGGATGCGTACTGCTGAAGAGTCCCAAACTAGGACGGAGCAGACAGCTGTCCAGTACTCCCAGGTTCTCCAATGGTTCTCTAACGAATGTCAGCTCATGATGAAAATTCTGTAACCAATCAAATCCCTACAAACCAACACTTGAATAACGTCAGTTAGTTGGAAGCAATCCACAGGAAGCTCCAATTGCCACCTACCATTTAAATGTGACTGTACACATAATTTACTTTATTCCTTGCACTATGCCGTTTACCCTTGTAGAATTCCTTGTTTCAAATCAAATTAATTATAATTTATTTAAACATAGTGAATGATTTTACTAACGAATAAAAATGACATGAAAAGTAAAGGCGGTTGTAGATAACAGAAAATTCTCTTTTCCACCAATTCATCGATTGGGCTGTACACCTGTCAAGTTCTAAACCTATCACTTCAAGAGTGAAGTAGTAGATAAACAGTGTGGTACGTATTTAAAGATTAAAAATCCTGTGATTTTATCTCCCATGTAAACTTCCTTAGTTGACTGCATAGAATTCTTTTGGTTTAAAATGTCATATTTCATTACAAAACAGAAACGACATTCCAACAAAGGCAAAAAAAGTATCCTGAAATCTCAACCCTATTATCTTGAGCACTTGTGAATCAGTTTAAATTAGTCTGCTTGCATTGAAATGTGTGGATCACCACTATTCATTTTATAATCTCGTCACACACTAACAGTTTTACAGAGGCCCTTATAACTGAATATGTAATACGTTTTCATTTCTCCTATGTGCGTTGGTGGCACAGTGGTAGAACGACCGCCATCCAGGCAGGTGGTTCGGGGTTGGATCCGCAGCCGACGCACTCCTTTACCCCACTAAGCCAGTAATAACACCGGTAAAGAGGGAAGGTTGGGCATCAGGCTAGCAACCCCATACCGTTAAAAATAAATACGACTGCTACCAAAACTTCAAGCCTCTAGCTTGAAGCCGTATGTTTCACTGGGAACGTAAAAGAATAAAAAATCCGTCAATATATTATAAATAAGTGAGAAAGTTCCAGAAATATCTCCAGTAAGAGATAAAACCATAACGAATAATAAAATGGTGTTACGTAACACCAGTGGGGACTTTAAAACGATAAAATAATGACGATTTTCTCGGGAAAACCATTTGAATATGGTGATCACGGCAGATACAAAGTCTGAAAGTAATTCTTTCACATACATCATAGCATTGGTTTGAACTTTTGGATCGATAATACTTCAGCTATGCGCAGATGTCTTTATCTCACCCTCTATGAGAGGTTCAACAGGGTATTGTTCCCTAATGGAGCTGTGTTCGGATTTCGCATAATGTCCTATAGATGTCCACATATATATGTACGTACTAGTTCACTTGCTCTAATGAGGCTGAGTATATCAGTCGTACCATACGTCTGCCTGTATAATACACGCGTGAACACTACCCAGTCTGGTTAGCAAAGGAAAGACGGAAGTGTGACTTTATTTCGTTAACTAAACATCGTATGACCTCAATTTGAGGAATTCTTCAAAGTCTTAAACAATATCCGGTCATTTCTATGAAACAGAATGAGATCGAGATATCTGGGCATAGCAGAAGAATGAAAGAGTCGAAAACTGAAGCAAATGCTGTATACCTAAAACAATTACGTTCAGCCTTTGCCTTCAAGAGATCTATCATCACCAGTCTACTTTATAAATGAAATCACTATTATTTTTTTTTCTCATCCAAAATCCCTGTGGTTTTTTAATTCCTGTTTGTACTGCGTAACTTCGCCTTGCTATTCCTCATATTTTATAAGTTCCTAACTCCTTGCTTATAAATATATTCACAAATGTGAAGTTTAGTTGATGATTTCACTGGAAAGAAGTTTTCTTCATACCTACAGTGATCCAACAGGTATATTCCGCCTTTAAAAATCAGTAAAGTAAGCCTATCTGCTTTTACCTTCATCACAAGATTTATCTGTCAGACGCCTGTAAATGATTAGTCAATATCATCTACTCATCTAGACAAGAGACAGACAAATTGAAATTCACCCACTTGCTGCTTATATTTATGAAGGATATAATTTGAATAAAATAAAAGCTAACTCTTGTTCTCATGAGGATGTATACTACTGAATGACAGACATAAGTAGATGAATATCACTGAAATCAACCCTTAGTGCTTGCTAACTGGATCAAAGTGATCCAAACACCGGACATAGGTTTCGCCCATTTCGAATCGAGGTCATTAGTTGTACACTGGGTTCGACTCATTTTAGAGAGCAGAATCAGTTCAAGCCATACGAACTGTAGCTGGCTACTTGGGTGAATTGACAACACACTAAATACTTTCATAATCAGTGACAGAAACCATCACCTGAATGACTTCACACAAATTATAGAAGTAAATCAATAGACTACAGATCACTACCTGAACACTAAATTGCGGTGTCACATTTTATCACCATTTCAGATGCAATCCTGACGCAACGCCTGGGATTTTCAAATCATTGTATCATATTTACAAGGGGTAGAAGATAAATTATCGAATATTGGTGCAGTAATAGTCCCTAGTCGGATTGATGTGATTTTTACACCAGATAGATGACTGTTTCCCCTATCTGTGGTCTCGTCTAGAAGTGGAGTACTTTGGAAGATTTAGCTTATATAACGAAATTACTTCAAAACCATTACTACTGGTTAATTTGAGTGGTAATCAGTTAGACGTACATATTAGTAGTAGTGTGACGTGTGCTACTGATAACTATTGTCAGTAGTATATATATACGAAGAGATGTTTATCAGCATTGAAATATAAAATGGCGGAGAGATAGATTAGATGTCAAAGACTGCGAATGAACCAACGTTGCGGTGAAACATGGGCGACACAAAGAAAAAACAAAGAAACACAATACGAAGGGCAAAGGTAGCACAATATGGAAGATCTGTGCAGATGGTGGTTATATAGAGATACCGAATGCCAAATAAATATTCCGTTACCAGGCCTCTTGTCTTCTACCGTCACAGTAGTATGTAATACACAGCATTCATGCTAGACATTCTGACGTCATTTCTGATGCTAAGTAGCTCACATACTCCCATATAAGATACTGAATGTTTTCAAAGGAAGTGGCACTGAAATATGACGTCAGACTGCGGAAATATCTCTGCAAAAGAAAACTTGTAGTTTTGGCAGGGAGGCGTCTTTTTAAAAATTTCATACGTTTAGTTCCCTTGATTAATTTTGATAGAGAAAGGAAGACCAGATTTGCTGTAAAAATTCATGCCATCATTCTATTTCACAGGTTCTCATCAGCTAACTGCAAACTACCTGAAGTTACAATGGTTATAAGTAATAACATTTTACACTCCAATGTTTGAAAAGTAATCGAAGAAACATTGTAAGATGAACGCATCCGGAATATAAGGATTACAATTTTTAGTTTAAGCTACCATCAATTTATATACTATCAAAGTATGGAGAGAAGGGGGTTGAGAGAAGACAGAAAACAGAAAAATCTAATAAACATTGTTAGCTTGTACGTCAACATGGCAACTGAAGAAGGTTAACGTTCATCAAATTGAAAACTTGCTTAGTGAACTGAACTCACTAGTGTGTATGACTAATCAGTGGAATGAAAGTAATACGGTTACCAATGGAGTGAGAGATTGACTAGACTCTCTTTCTGTGTGCATAAGTTTGCTCTAAGACGTTTGATTGTAATTGCTTCAGCAAATCGTAGTAGATTCTCTTTCCTTTGTACGTTTAGTATTTAGAAGGACTTGGAAATCATGACAAAATGAGCCAAGGTATCCACAAGGTGTCCAGTAATTGCAGTTTGTAAATATCTGCTTCCTTTCAAGCATAAGTATGAAGCATGAAATGTTATTATTATTTATAACCATTTTAATTTCAGGTAGTTTGCAGTTAGCTAATGAGAACCTGTGAAATAGAATGATGGCATGATTTTATACTGCAAATCTGGTCTTCCTTTCTTTATCGAAAACTTGTAGTCTTCTACTTTAATTATTATGATTTTTAGCTAAAATAGAGCCCATAATAAACAATCGTATTTTGTGTATCACATCTTTTTTTAAAAATCTTCGTTTATTTTATACATTTTTTTAGGCTATGGACATGTGACACCGCATACACAATTAGGTAAATTTCTTACAATGATGTATGCCTTATTCGGCATACCATTATTCTTTTGTTATCTGTCAAACAGTGGAAATTACATGGCATCATTATTTCAAGTCTTCTACATACGTATATGTCAACCAGCATTTGTACAATTTAAGAAATGCCTTAAAAGGTGTTGCAATCAACTGAACAACAGAAAGGTTACACAAGAATCAATCTCAAAAGTATCAAAAAATAATGAAATTCTTGTCTGTCAGAGTAGTTCCCCATCATCATTTGCGCCAAGATATAAAAGGTATAAAAGAAACCTGCCTAATACTACTACTTATTCTTCTTCGAATAGTAATAGTAGTAGTATCTCTCCAACTAACAAGCATTTACTACCTAATCAATATCTCAATAATGGTATACCTAATCGTAATCTAAGCGAGAATTTAAACTGTAACAATATGAATCGACAAAATACTCCATGGACTTATAAACACTCACAGACTGCATCCTACAGACCGGAGTATTTATTGGATCATGTGATGACATCTACATCGTCTTATTCAAGCGCTCAAAACTATCCATCTCAAATGTTCGACTTGCATAATATGTACACAGTCAATCCATATATCAAACAACATACACCATTGGAAACTTATGAATTGTCAAGTTATAATTCCACTGCATCGCATTCAATGCATGAACAGTCATCCAGTGAATTAATCAATCATCCTAACAGTAATATCAACTCTACCAGGGAATTACCAACATCAATGACTTTTGCAAAAACAAGTCAACAATTTAAACAAAAAAATAATTTAGAATTGCCTAATTCATCAATGAATGAATCAATTAAATCATCAGATGAACCAGTTACAACAACAGTTCCATTAACACTGACTATTCTAATGATGACAGTTTATATTTTATTAGGTGCAACTGTATTTTGTTTATGGGAGTCAACAGATTATTTGAAATGGTCATATTTTTGTTTTGTAACATTGTCAACTATTGGATTTGGAGATATTGTACCAGGTGAGTGATTCACTTTTGTGAAATGACACTATTTTTCAAATGCTTAAATAATAATAAAAATTTGCTTTATTCCAGAGACAGTACTAGTGGTACAGTGTGGAATTTTCAGCACATATCTACAATATTTGCATCTAATGTTACCAAACATTTAAAAGGAGTATTTAACAAAAAAATAAATCTAAAGACGCCAACAGCAAAAAAAAAACAGGATAAACACAAAAGTAATTATAAATGCGAAAAAATACCAAGAAGTAGAAAGGAAAATAAACAGCATATAATAATAACAACTCAGTATTGGGTAGTGGAAGCTATGATATGATTAAGCATGGTGACAGTAAAGCTGCAGTCATACAAGAAGTTATGAAGTGATATAAAAGAATGTTTATCGCTAAGGTGGACAGTTAATTTGGTTGAAACAACTCTAAACAATCATAAAATAACATTTTAGGGTTGTTGTTTTGTTTTTTATTGTCAGGTCTAATGCAGTGTTTGTAGTGGAAGTGTGAGTAATGCTGAATAATACAAAAAATTTTAAGGTGGTGACTTTGGCGTTCACAACCAATGATTGTCAGTTTAATATTGTCGAAAAGTATAGAAAATAAGAAAAAACAACCACAAAACTAATAATTACATGATGATTAATGACAGGACAATCTTGTAATACTCATAGTGCTAATAGAGTCGGAACCAGTGGATACACAATAGAAGGAATATAGTAAAGTACAAAAAAGGAAGCCAATGTTATTAATTTAGGTAGCTAAGTATGTTTGAGCGGGAGTTCACTATAGAATACAAAATAAGAGAGAAATAAAAGAGCCTAAAATTATGTTGTAAATAACAAAGCAAGTCATAGGTTTCACGCTTAACATTGTCTCTGTCGCTTAGATCACGGGCCAAGTATGGTATCGTTAAGTTCCTGTACTTGGTTGTACCAGTGTACTTGGTTGCCCAGTGATTAACAAAAATGGATACAGTTTGACAGTTTCCCATTGAGTCATATAAAAAAAGAATAGGCGTTCAGAGAAGAGTTGTCTCTTTTCGGCGATATCAATTTCTAGCTGTACAGTCGCATAGATATGTAGTAAATTATCTTAGCAGCAAAAGCAGTATTTCCGAATATGTGTCATCAGGTAAGGTAGAAAGCGTTAATCTGGTAGAAACGAAAGTAAAATAAAATAAGTAAGTTAAGTGCCGGGGTTGAGAAGTATTCAACTAAAATTTGAACGACAGTCGAGCTAACAACACTGGTAATAAGGAGTCGTGATTTAATAGGGTGTAGGGAAAGCAAATAATACCATTAGGAACAAAAAACAAAATTACGTATTTGGTGTTAAGATAGATCAGGTCCATTGTAGATTTAATGACTGAACAAACATCTTTTGCATGCAGTTTTTGAAGAAGTTTCATTCATACTCTTTTAGAGAGATTCCAGCGTATTCTTCAGACAACTCTGAAGTTCCTTGGTGGGTTGACTTGCTGTCCAAATTCGTTCAGGTCTTCCAGGACTGAACTGCAGGGGGATTTTTTTTCTTCTTTGTAAAACCATGAGAGTAAATGTTCGATGATACTTTTGGATAGCAAACGCTGGATGTGGCTGACATTCCTAGTTCCACACTAACAGGTGAATTGGTAGGTGCACACTGATGAGACCAACAATGGTAGCCTGTGCGTCGGTGGCACAGTGGTTAGGACTCTCGCCGACCATGCACATGGTCCGGGGTTCGATCCCCTGCCGGCGCACACCCGATATCTATGGTCGGCCTGAATTTGGGCTACTGATATCCATGCTGAAAATTCCATACTTGTACTGAAAATACGGTGTGGAATCAAGCTGTAAATCAAAAAAATAAAAATAAAAATTCTACATGTTGTTGGGAATCACTGGTTTCATAGAGAAGGTTATTCTAAGTTCAGTCCCGAAGAAGGCTTTCTTCGGCAATGGGGACAGGAGGTTTGTCAGTATTTCTGCTGATGAGTCTCCAGTGAATTGCAGATTCAAGTAGAGACGCTTTTTGGGTGTTTTCTACATTACATAACTTGTTATCTAAAATTTACAATTCTAATGACATATCTTTGGAAATACTGCTTTTGTTGCTAAGATAATTTACTGTATTTATGCGATTATACAGCTTGAGAATGATATCGCCGAAAAGAATAACTCTTCTTATGAACGCCTTTTGTTTGATATAAAACTGGATGCACTTTGTAAAGTAATAAGGATTCATATTTATGAGTTATGTATTGTAGACTGACTGTATTGCTTTCTTTAAATGATATTTTCTATCATTTTGAGAATGAGATTTGAAATACCTTACAATTGCATGCACAAAAGTTTGGATTCAATTGCCAACCAATGAACTTCTAAACCTTACTAAGCTGGTATTAAGCCTGGTAGAGTGGAGTTGGGCATGAGGCCACCAACTGCGAACCGTCTAAACACTTCCGCTGCTGAAACTTCACAAGCTCTTGCTTGAAGCCCTATATTCCACTCGAGGTGTAAACAGATGGGGAAAAAATATGCGAATATCTCGTATAATTTGTAGTATGACAAAATAGCTGTCCAGTACTCCCCTTAGTTTTCAGCGAATGACTACCTATTAGATTTTCCTTCCACAGGTCTTCAAGTAGCTGGCGAAGTTAATTTTGATGAATAACTATTTTTTTCTTATATGACCAGGAAACGGGAAATAATTCGCTTAGAGAAATGCACTCGTTCTTGAAATTTGTCAGTAACTTCTTCTAGACCCGTGAAAGTAAATGTTTCGGAAATAACTCTGTGAATACTGAAATTTATTCTTGTAGATCTTTTAAAGGAAGCTTATCAAGGACTGGAGCAGGTTCATGAGATGAAGCATTTAAATGAGCACTGATATCAGGTCCACAAGGTACAGTACTGCATAACTTAAAGGGAACTAAAGAAGCATAATCAGTTGATATACTGTCAGTTCCAGCCACAAATGGCTTGCATTGTAAACATGACTGTTTATTGACAGCAAAACATCCTATTTAAATTTGTTAGTAGCATATTCCAGTATATACTGACAATTAGTACTACTAAACGCATTTCAAACTTAAATCTTAGTGAAATGATGATTTTCAGTAGGTATCATTGATTAGCCTTATGACTTACAAACTACAAAATTTTGAAATAAATCAGTAGTAGTATATACTCTTATACATTCTACTCATTTTCGGCAATCATTCATGTACGATGTCGATGTTGAAGTCACTAACTGCTCTATGAATTTTACTGCTCAGCTAACTTCAGTTTATTAGAATGCATTCATTAACTGTAACTGCTGATTGATAATTGTAAGAATGCTTTCGATAAAAAGGATAGCCAGTAACTTCTCCTGTGACACTTTATCTAAGGTGGGCAGTGAGACTGTCAGAAGTCTTGGTGGCACTACCGTTGACTTTGACAAATATTTGTCTAAGAAGAGCTTTAAACGTTTACCCTTTAGCCTCCTGTCTTCCAGTGGGACTTCAAAAGAGGCCTATTGACACTAAGCTCTAAGCCTCCTTCACACTGGCCACCCAATAGGTTCTTGAGTACCATCAGCTTTGTCCTCTGCTCCTTCAAGCTGACCATCTATGTAGTTGGCAGAAATTTCTTCAGGAATCCGTTCACATTTTTTTTCTTCAAGATCCTATGTTCAATATATTTTCATTTTGTCTATAAGCAACGACAACGGTTGTAAAAAAACAATATGGGTGAGTACATATGTCATGCTTATTAAAACAATAAGTAAATAAACATTTTATCTGCTGTTTACAAATCATACAAGCATCTTATATCGGGAAGAAGCTCTTCACCAATTTTTCTCCCTTTTTCTATTCTCTTCAACATTACAACCTTCTGTTATCATTCAAATATCAAATGCAATTACTTTTCTAGAACACATCACACTATTTACTACTTATGCCTTTTGCTACAAGTAGTACATCCCCCAGCAGCAGGAGCGCTAATATCACTACTTTAATGTTTGAAAGAGGGGACTGAGGAAGAGGCAAATAAACAGAAAATGGTGCAGTTTTGTATCAGAACATACTTAACCATAAAAGAGAAAGTTATATGGTGTATTCATCTAAGTTTTATTTCATTATCTGAATAATCTAATTTATGAGCAGATGAAAACTGAAAGATACGCTCTAACTTAAGTTTCGTCGAAAACAACTTAAGCGAAAAGAAGCCTGTTAACCTACCACTTATCTCATCATTGTTCTAATAACAAAAATCCAGCTAAAATTCACAATTACTACACTATGAAGATATTTTGAGAAAATAGAAAAATGACCTTGACACAACAATATCAGTAAACAAGAATGAAAAACGAAATGTAAATTAGTGATTACCTAACTCAACTTAGTCCTTCATAATGTAGATCTCAGAAGCGATACCTTTTTGTCAACTTAGTCGATAAGAAAACAAAATCTTAGCAAATTTAAAGTACATTCAAATATTCATTGAGAAGTTTAACAATTTAATCCCTACTGTCATTTTGTTAAATTTAAAGCTTTCTTAATAACCATTACAAAAATAATATGTGATTAAGGTTCTGAAGTAATTTAAACAAAAGAAACTTCAAGGTCACATATTATTTATGTTCAATATTTGAAAAAAAGATTAGTTATTACATTCAATGGAGGGGAATACTCGCTTCTGTTTAAGTGATTGTAAATGTACATGTTTGAATTACTTAGCTGTATTATAGAAGTTCTTATAAGCCTAACCAATATTACTAGTTATTATACTTAGCAGTGAGTTAAAATATGCAAGAATAGATGTACTTTAGGTTAAATCATTTTGAAAGATATAAAGTAAAACAAAAAGTGCTATTGAGTCGTAGTTTGGGTCCTTTCAGAAGTTTTTGCCAATGATTCCGCCATAGATTGGACCCATGTTACCATCTAGCCACTGAATTGGAACCAAATGGCCCATGATTACTAATTTCTTTCAAACTGTGGTATTTTCGGAAAATTCTCATCGGATTTACAATTACATAATAGAATATCAGTCACAGACATTTGAAACACAGTCAAGGAGAATGTAGGCAGAATAATAATGATAAACTGTGAAGCGAAGATTAAAATATGCAACTATTGCACAGATATCAGTACAACTAAAAATAAAGTAATATTTACACATCAACAGCAACAACAACAGACAACAATCAGCATAAATGGAAGAAATCTGAAAGAAGCAACCTCCTTTACCTACCGACCTGGGAAGCATCGTTTCAACTACAGGTGGAACTGACGAGGATATCAAAGCTTTCATTATTCTCAAGTCTGTGTAGAGGTCAGCAGCACTCAGCATGAAAACGAAAATAAGATCCGGATTTTCAACTTTAGTATGAAGTCAGTGCTACTATACGGATCAGAGACTTGGCGCCGCGTCACGAAGGGCACTTCGAACAAACTACAGACCTTCATCAACAGCTGTCTTCGCTCAATACTACTCAAGATCAGATGGCCGGCCAGGAAAGATCAGTAACAGGGATCTCTGGCAAGGAGCGAACCAACCCAGCAGGAACCGATTGTGAAACAAATATGCAGGAAGAAATGAAAGTGAATTGTCCATACTCTGGGAAAACCAAGTGACATCACACGCCAGACGATCACTCGAGTGGATCCCGAATGGGAAATGGCGAGTTGGTCATCAATGAAAGGGTGGCATGGAGTGGAGGAGGTCATGTGAAAAGGAGATGAAAGCATGTAGATAGACGTGGAGCCAGGTGAAAATGTTAGCAGAGAACCGAACGCAACGGAGACGTGCGGCTGAAGCCCCATGTTATTCCAGGAATTAAAGGAAACACTAATAATCATAACAACACTAGCCGACGCTAAGCCTAGAAAAGAAGGAAGGTTGAGAGCGATGCTAAAATCTTCACCTCATACAAACGACATCACCACTACGGAGAATCCAAAGCTTGGAGGCTTATTTCCCACTTTTAACTCCTCACTACATTGCCCCAAAACAAAAGTCAAAGACGTCGCAGACTGAAACTATTTCTTCACCGTATCATTATTCCTATCCTACTCCTTCTTCATATGATATTGTTATTAACAGGGTGAAAGTTCCATTCATAGGCATAACACAATCGATGAAGAGTTAATCAAATAAAACACCATAAATGAGGCTTAATAAGTTTTCCAGATGGATCTTATGATTTTAGATAGATTTTAGATGCACTGAAGGATAGATAGATAGATACATAGACTGCGAAAAAGGTACGCTTGATTATTTTAACAGAAGAAAAAAATTGAATTGGTGTTATTCTAATATATATATTATATCAGTGATATTTATTGCCAATCATTCTGTTTGCCATGAAATGATTACAAAAATGATTAATACATTTTTTCCGCCAAAAAAAATAAACTCTTTCTTTCTCTCTGTCAAAGAACTATTGAAAGAATTATGATGGATATATATAGATACGTGTTTGCTTCACTTCCCTGATCTCCCCTGATAAAAAAAGTATAAATGATCAAATGGAAAAGTTCAGTTCTTTTTTTTCCTTATTTTTCTTCAAAACAGGAAGAAATTAATCTAATTTCAAAGTAGAAATATTTATTTAACAGTTGAATAAATACTGGAATTGATAATTGATCATTAAAGATAAAAAGTGGCGCACAACTTAAACTGTCTGAATTCAGTTGATTTTAACAGAAAAGATATAAGAAGCAGTTTATGGATATCACAGTTCGTTTAGTTTGATGATGAACTTTACAATGCCTTCTAACCGGGAAGTCTTGGGATAGAACACCAGTAGGAAAAATTCCCAAATAAGGAGGATGAAAATCTATGAAATTGATGTGTATTTTTGATTAGGCACTGGTCAGTAACTAGTGCCTTGCGTCTAGTCCTTTGTTTGGTGCAGAGTGAATACTGTTATTCAAGTTTGAAATGCGGCCACCATGGTAGGTGGCTGTGTAACGACAGAAGGCAAGAGTCAGGCAACAGATCGTTTATTAAGGAAATCAACGCATATTTATATATATTTTCATGTACATTACTATGGATATTTAAGTAAACAAACACAATCTTCCGATTGGTTGTTTCTCACGTAAAGTTAATCTTTCATCTATTTGTGACTGTTTCTTGAATGTCAAATCCTCTATCTGTTAACTGCATCCGCCTACGCAAAGTCTGCTGTGGTCGGTTTTGAATCAATCTTTGTTCACATTTTCTCACGACAAATCTTGGGAACGTAAATATTGACGTAAATTACTGTCTACCAATTTGGCTAGTAGACAGCTCTCACCACAGCTGGACATCACACTGTACTCAGAAGTGTTGTTACTATGTGGTTAGAGACAGTGGGAAGCATTGGACCTAAGTTTCGTGCTTGTTGGCAATCTTGAATAAACAAATTACTAGACGCATGACACTAGTTAGTGCCCAATCAAAGTATCTAATACTGTCCTGCAGGAGGTCAGTCACAGGCTCGAGTAACTCAGTGGTACCGTCTCTGACTACATGGGTGACACAGGTTAGAATCTCAGAAGGTACATGTGTTCCTTCAAGATTGCAGATACTCCTTCCTGATTAGTGAGTGCCAATAAGCCTAAGACCTAGGTTCAAGCCTTCCTGCCGATTGCCTCCAAACATCTAATAATAACAGACTAACTCTTGAAAATCAATCTAATGCTCGCTAGTGACTGGGTACAGCACAAAGCTGCCTGGAGTTCTAGTGAGAAGTCGTGGTCAGTGTAGTCAGTCGGGTCAGGCGTGAAGACAAATACTCGCCGATAACATTGGCTAGTGGTCGCGCTAAAATCACGAATCGGTAGAAGCTGGAGTTCATAGGCCATCGATTCAATGGGTCCCAGTTTCTGTATCGTCGGCGGGCTTGCCTTGTAACTGGAAGATCGTGAGTTCGAACCCTGGTGGGTGAAAACTGTCGAAGAGCCCCAAACTAGGACGAAACTGCTATCTAGCACTTTTTGGTTTCTAATGGTTCTCTAACTGATATCGATCCGTGATCAATACTTTAAAGAAAGTTAATTTGATGAAGAAATTATAAAAACCTCTAGATTGTATTACTTACAGATCAACTAAACTGGTCAAACTGATGGCACTTTTTTTCACAAGATGTGGAACTTTCGCATTTAACAAGTCAATGCAGTATTTTCTTTCATTTTATAGAGTATATGTCAGTTAACATTGTTTATGTAAACCTTCTAAATAACTGTACAGCTTTGAAATGGAGTTACGAAAAGAGATCTCCTTGCTGACTTACATGTTTTTATTTCTGAATTAATTTCAGATATTTATTTTAGTTAAATTCAGTTGTCTGTGAAGTCTTATGATTCACCTGTCTACTAATCTGTAAGATAAATTCACCACTATCATAACTTACGAGTATGATACTGACAATGGCATCATGACTTATTCCTTACTTACATCCGGACAGTATCGTTATCCAATAATTACACATATTACTTGAGAGTTTACTTTAAATTGACCGTACAGTAAGTCGGAAATTTGAAGTTTGATCACTAGCTGACTTCAGACATGAAACTACTGAAAACTATGGAGTACTGTTTCGTCCTTGTTTGGGACTCTTCAGTAATACGCACCCATGACCGTATTGGGGATTAAGCCCAGGAACTTCAGGTCACAAGATGAGCTCAGCCACTGGAGTGGAGTCTAATAGCTCATCAATTCTAACTTCTGATATTTCACGGTATATACAGCGACCACCAGGCATTGTCGGAAATCATAAGAATGCTGACCACAGTCAGAAACAAACTAGACGATATGCTGGAATTCTATTCACAAATACTTTTGTGTCCCATCAAGCAGACTTAAATAATGTTAACTATTAATTAGATTCTGCTCTGATGGTGTCACAGAAGCTTCTGGTATCAATCTTATTGCTATCAAAGTTCTATGACGTCATAAATTATTGTTATTTCGAACTAAGAGTGACACTATAGAAGAGTTATGTAGTTGCTTTTGTGTGTAGAATATAAAACTATCTTTGCAATCACGCGGAAGTATTCTCTCTCTGTATACCATATTAAAAAATTGTGTAATCCGAAGTCGACTTGTTTTTCTACTCTATTTTTCATTTTACCTCGTCTTTTACTAGGTACCAAAATTGATTCACAGAATCCAAAAGAGAAAATGATCGCTTTAGCCTTGTATGTCGCGCTTGGTTTATCATTATTTGCAATGTGTTTCAATCTGATGGAAGAAGAGGTGACAGCTAAACTGAAAAGAATAGGACATCGTATCGGTGTAACTCAACCGACAAAGAAGAAATCAAAAGCCTAAAATACTTGGCCTACTACTTTCACACACACATACACATACAAACTAACTCACTTCATCATCATTCTTATCATAAACACGTAAATCTCACCATCTTTGTCATTATTACTGTTGTTATGCAGTGAGGATTTTGAAAAGCATAGTGAGTTTTCTGTTTCTCTTGGAATCGTAAGTCCAGAGAGTTATGAATGCAAAAATGTGCAGCACACATACAAATAAAGCCATAATCATTTATGTGACATACATTTCAAAACGAGCTATGCTTTAGTTAATTCATGTGATAATTTTTTATACATATATATAATAGAAAAAAATAGTTTTGTGAGAAAAATCAATTAAAGAATATTATCAGGGTGTAAAATTAACTTGTGTTCTAACTTTGTTTTTCCCTTTTATTTTGAGTCACAATTATCAACTGTATCGACTTGAAGGTAACAGAATACGCTTTTTAGTTCGTTCGACTTGAGCTACTTATTTCACATTTAAGTAGTTTTAAGTGTCTAATTAAAACAGTCAATGAAAAAAGAAGCAATTTAGCTTATGTGAAACTTCTCCCTATTTTCAATGGAGATTTCGATCAAGGTAGAAATAGGCAGTTTGAAGCTATCTCGCTAGCCATTCATAAGATAATTCAATTTTCAGTGTTAGTGTCAATGGGTTAAGAGTAGGTGTCATCTGTCACGTAAATCAGTCTCCTCGTTGATTGTGTGTAACACTAACCAATAAAAATGGATGTACACTAACTATGTAGAGTTTAAACTTTTCACTAGTACAGACAAGATATCTAGTGACGAGATAACCTCAATTACAGGGGTTTCAAGAATGACTTCTAAAATCACGTTTCAGAATGAATTTAGCAATGCTGATAGACATCTGAATGAAAATTAGAAAATCATCCTGTCGCCTTCGAGGAAACCTCTCAGCTTCGCTGATCAAGAGAGACAACATGGAGTCATTAATTTATCTATATTGCAGCATATATCAGATAAAGAACACACAGCCTGGTATCTTCAACTGAAAATCTGAGGAATTGTCGGGTGATTGAACTTGCTTTGAGTAGTCGAAGCTTTGACAATAAGAGAATGTTACTTTCGACTTAAATTTATCATCATAAATACGTGATTCACAAAACTTTGTCTTTCATATTCTGTGATGCTTCATTTCACTCCACTTTATGTCATCACATTCTAACATTTCTTTGCATTTATTAAATATAACAGTTCAACCATCTGCCTTGCTAATTTCCGAATGTACTTAATCTTTCTATGGACATTAGCCTAATCAGCTATTTACTCGTGTCTATAGTAATTTGTGTTGACCTATATTCGTTCATATTTCTAGTCAATTTGTGATTTAATAACCATCTAAGCCACTGTTATCACATTTCAGTATTTTCTTACTCACTGTTAAATCTTAAAAAACATACTGATAGATAATATATTTCATTCCGTGCATAAATACTACTTTACTAGTAAGAAAGCAAAATAGCTGGAAAAGAAAATCTTCCTTTTTGAAATCACTGGTATACGTCACTTTTGTCATAATTTATCATTATTATTCCCGAGAGTTGAGAGTGGGAAATAAGGCTTCGACAGAACATCCTCATTTTCTCCTGTTTTCTGCAGTCGTGTTTAGCTGGTCCTGCGATTCTTCATAGACTTTCGCCTACTGCTCACATGATCTTTTCCATGTCACCCTCAGACTCCCAACTCGTACTTTCCCATTCGGGTACCGCTCGATATCAGAATATTTGTTGAGTAACAGGTATTTGGTTGGGTTTGGTTTACCAGTTTCCACAGTTTTTCGTTGCTAATTCTTTCTAACCGGCCACCTGATTTTCAATGTGGAGCGAAGGCAGCTGTCGATAAAAGTCTGCTTTTAGTGACGCTTCATGTTTCTGAACCGTATGGGAAGAAATGACTTAAAATTGATGTTGAAAATTCGAATTTCATCCATTATGCTGAGGAGTGCAGGTCTGTCTTGTCTTTCTCATTCTGATTTTGACATCCTCATCCATGACACCGCCTGTAGTTGAAACGATGATGTCTAGATAAATGAAGGAGGTGACCTCTTTCACTTTAATATAGCGAAAATATTCATTCAGACATCAATAAAACACAAAATAAGTGAGCAAAGAATATCCTTTTCGATAATCTGCCTCTACAACTATATATATATATATATATATATATATATATATAGAATGTTCTAGAATAGTAGTCAATAACAATATTAGTGTTTTTTAAATAATATCGATTTGTAAAGTAAGATCACAATGGAATTACACTTCATTAAAGATGCTTAAATTATAATAATAATAATAAAAATATAATAGCAAATGGAATATCAACTAAAATTAGGGAAATTTCTACAAAAATGTTGAATCATTCGAACCTAGATGGCCAAAGTAAGGACAATTTTTGAACTAACTTCTTTTGAACGCACAAATTAGGCTTCTTAATGTGGATCCCAACAGCCAGCCTCAGCAATATTTAGTAGATGAACTCTTAAGGTGAAGTTAAGATTAGTTGGCATGCGTTAGATGACTTTGAAAGCCTCTTTAACATCAGTCTTGTGTTCTGTATCCACCAGATGAGATAGAATAGTGCTACGAATAGATTTTGTTTGTCCTTTACTTAACCACACAGGGTGATGTTCGGAAATCTGACGAGAAACACGCCTAACTGTACGGCCTATGTAACTGCCTCCACAGGAGTAGTCATTTTGTCAGTTTCTACCTAATTTCTTTTACCGATTTCTATCATGCAGCGTAGTCAAATATTTACAGCATAAGTAACAGTGACTATCAACATATACCGAGATCAATAACTATGCCTTCTGTTTGTTCTTGCACCAATAACAGAATCTTATTTTTGTTCCGATAACCTTGACCTTACTAGTAACTGATACTGATGTTTCTAAAAGCCTACTAACTATGTGTATTAGTCAGTCATTAGAGTATTTTGCATACTGTCACCAAACTATTAAAAGTTTCTTTGAAATAATAAGTTCCATATTATCATTAAATTATATTATTCATCCCTTGGGTTTCGAATAGAAGAGAGAGCTTCAGAAGCACATCGCCATTCCATTCTGTCCTCTGCTATACTTTACAGCTGGCTTCAAGAATCCCAATAGGCTTTCATGTCTTCCTCACATGATCTCCTCCATGTCACCCTCACATGTCTGACTCATCGCTTCCAGTTCATATTCGACTCGAAGTGTTAACTAGTGTGTAAAGTCTGTCAACAGTCTTCTCAGCATGTACATCCAATTTATCTCCATATCTTTATGTATATTTGCTGGACATTAGGCTGCTGATTGGTCCGTTTCCAAAGTTGCTCGTTGCTTCTCCTAACCGATAGGCCATCTGTTCTTCAATACCGAGCGAATGCACACTTAAATAATCAGAAACCTCCTTACACATTAACAAAGACGTCCATTTAAGTAATTCAAATTTTTATGCAAAGTTAAATAAATCTGAAGCCGTGACCAGTAGGGTACAGCAGGTTGAAGATCAGGCAGTAACTCATCGAAGAAGACATTGCGGAATGGTCGCGCTGTGTCGTGAATTGGCAGAAGTTAGAATTCAAGGACCATTGGATCGGGTCCCAGTGGCTAAATGGTCTATGAGCTCGCCTTGTAACCAGGAGGTCCTGGGTTCGAATCACGATGGGTGCGTACTGCTGAAGAGTCACAAACTAGGACGAAACAGCTGTCCAGTACTCCCAGGTTTTCCAGTGGTTCTCTAACTGATGTCAGCTCATGATGAAATCCTCCATGCAATCAAACAAAATCCCTACAAAGCCAATACTTGAAAATAAATCTGTAAATTTTTAATACTGAAGACTTTTTTGAAAATTCAATCTTAAAAATTCTTTTTTACAAACTATAGACAATCTTAGTTACATATAGGGAGATATGCATTCATATCCTGTCTACCTGTCTGCTCGTATGTGGAAGTAATTTATACTTATAGGAATTTCTAAATAGTCAATCAACAAATATCGCTTCACAACAGTATCAACTGCAGAAAGATTATAAAAGTGAGAAAAACCAAAGAAAATTTAGTTAACACATTTCTATGGTGTGCTTTTTTCTCTCTCTAAGTGTTCTGCCTATTAATCATATCTTGAACTGGTATTATATACTTACAGATAGCTAGAATCAGAGAGATTTAAACAAGACAGATGTTTAAGCTAGAACACCTTCAGTGTATAATTGACCCACTTGGTCTGAACTGAGCCATAAAGCTGTTCAGCATATGTACCCCTGGATAACTAAGTTGATGTTGTTTTTATTAACACAAGAAAAAGTGTTCAAATCTGAAATGAAAAAATCGCGTCTAGACATATTTTGATGAGAGGAAATATTAAAGCGACGACTGAGGCAAAACAATTTTCATTTTTGACAAAGTCATCAGATAGACTGTACATTCGTGTATTTATAGTAGATGGGTGAGAAAGTTCCAGTACTATTTCCAGTCAAGGGTTAAATTGAAAAACTCACTGAGGAGATCCATGCATAAAAAGCCCACATGGGATGGACAGTTTATCAATTCTCAAAGTTGTGTTCCACTAAGCAGAAACAGAAATCTCATATATTTATTCTCTTTCCTCGAGGATCCTGAAAATATGTACCGAGGAATCTTGATGGAAAATAGCTTCCCACCTAGATTCATAGACAAGAATCTAAAACCAAAGAAAGCTTCTGAACACGTCTAGGTAGCCCCCAAAAAGATGCTGCTACCTAGTATGAAATAATCAGATTTTGAAATCTCTTAATGAAACATACTCCTCTGACAGCCTATGAATGATTTTTCTCGTAAGAAACTATTCAACCAACACGTGAAAGACAAGCTGTCGCATTGAGCCACTTCACCATGAATATACCAGTGCATTTGCTTTTGTGCAGCTGAGTACATTGGCCGTACTATTCGTCCACTTGTAAAACGCACTCAGGAACACAATCCAGCCTGGCTAGCAAATAAAGAACTCAAGTGT